TGGTCAGTGATGACTGTAATCTGGTGGTGTGTGCCTTGGAGTTCGGGTCTCCAGCATTCGAAGCAGCGTACAATAGCCAAAAGTTCTTTGTCATATATCTCGTAATTGCACTCAGCGGGGTCGTACTTCTTGGACATGAAAGCCACTGGGTGTAGCACTCCTTGATCGTCTTCCTGGGAGAGAATACCCGAAGACACAAAATCGGACGCGTCGCATTCGACAAACACTTCTCTTGCGGGGTCGAAGTGTCTGAGGATTGGCGCTGAAGTGAAGCTATTTTTGAGCATATCGGAATGCTTCTTGGCAAGATGAAGTCCAGTTCCATTTGACTAGCTTCCGTGTCAGGGCAACAAGTGGTCGTACGATGCGTGAAAATCCCTTGATGAACCGTCTGTAGAAATTTGAGAATCCTAAAAAGGCTTGGACATCTTTGACATTGATAGGGGCCTCCCAGTTGATGAGACAGTTGACTTTCTCTGGGTCCATCCGTACTCCAGTGGTTGAGATGATCATGCCCAGGTATTTGACTTCAGTAGTCTCGAATTCGCATTTCTTGACGTCAAGTTGTAGGCCTGCGGCTTCAAGTGCTTGGAGTACTGATTTGACGTGGAGTCTGTGGGTGGCAAGGTCGTCTGAGTAGATGAGAATGTCGTCGATGTAGGCCGTGCAATATCTATCAAGGAATGGGCGTAAGACTTCGTTAATTCGAGCTTGAAAGGTAGCCGGGGCGTTTGATAGTCCAAAAGGCATCACCATGCTCGAAGAGACCATATCTTGTGTTGAACGCCGTCATCCATTCCTGACCCTCCTTGATGCGGATTCGATTAAACGCTGCGACGACATCGAGTTTGGTGAAATACTTGGCTTGGCTTAGCTGGGAAAGGGTCTCCTGGATCAACGGTAGGGGTAACGGTTCTTGATGGTTATCGCGTTAAGAGCTCGGTAGTCCACGCAAAACGAAGGCCCCTCCTGGTTTCTTTGCAAATAACACTGGCGAGGCTGCCGGTGAGGTGCTAGCGCGTATGAAACCCTTATCAAGGTTTTCCTGAAGGAATTTCCGGAGGACGAGAAGTTCGTCTTGTGACATCCCGTACAGAGGTCCATGTGGTGGAGTCGTTCCAGGTTGAAGTTCAATTTCGTGGTCGCAGTCTCGGTGTGGGGAGTTTATCCGCTTCTGATTGGTCGAATGCTTTCAAAAATTCATGGTAGTGTTGGGGTACTTTTGTTGCAGGATCGATCAAAGTCTTGGGTTCGAGGGCTTTGTGAATGTCTTCGAGTGATGCCCCTGAAAGGTACATATCGGCTGCTGTTTTCCGGGAAGCTCAGAGTTCCTGTGTTTGTTGGTCCTTGGGGTCAAGGGAGGTGATTCCGTCCTGTAGCTGGAGTTCTCGGTTCATCTTGTCCATGTCTGTGAGTGCAGAGTCGAATCGGACCCTTCGGCGTGCTTTAGGTTCTACGAAGGTGGAGGCTTCTGTGATGACTCAAGTTCAGCCAGCCTTTGTCGATCTCATACAGTGATAGTGAGAATACGTCGACGTCGCGGTTTTTGGTCAGCATATGGAATGCAGGCTGCGCCGACTCTTCGGGGATTGATGGGCGTGCCAGTATAGTCGTGGTTGCAGAAATTGACAAAGAGGGAGCTCCAGAAACAGGCAGTTGGTATTGTCCTTTCTCCATGCAGTATTTGCGGCAGTGATCAGAGTTGAAAGTGACCACATTCGTGCTCCAATTGACGATTGGGTTGTGATCTGTCAGCCAGGGTTTTCCGAGTATGACATTGTACTTCCCAAGCTTCGTTACGTAAAATAGCATCTTCTCCCTGTGTCCCTTGATTTCCATGTTGAGTTTCACCACATGAGTGATATCGCCAGCCGAGGAGGGTCTTCCATCGACTACGTTCAGCCGGCGACGGTTTCGTAGTTCATAAAGCGTGAGTTTGTTGGCGTGCGCGAAGGATTCGTCTACAAACCCCTTTCCAGTGGCACCTGAGTCAAGCATTGCTTCGGTTTTAATCAGAGTGGAATTGTCTTCGATTAGGTTACAAGGCAGTAGCAAATGAGCTTGGTTAGTGTCCAGAGAAGAGCAGTAGATCGCCCTTTTCTTGCGTCTCCTGCGGCGACTTCCGTCGGAGACTACACTTTCCGTCCTCCATGGTGCGGTGTCGCAATTGAGGAACGATGTTTGCCTGAGCTGCACCAATGGCAGAGTCCATGCGCTGTGCAATAGGCTCTGCGTGCCGCTCTCTGCTTCCGTTTGGGGTCTACGACCAGAGGCGACATCTTTGGCCCCAGGTGATGACGCTCAAATCCATTGAATCCCGCCGTTAGAGGTCGTCGATTGTGGCGTAGTGGAGGGTTGTAAGGTTGCATTGTGACTTGCTGAGTTGTCGGTGTTTTTCTTGAAGTAATTGGCATTGACTTGACGGCATTCGTTATCGCAGATACGGACAAGGTCCATAAATTGACTAATTTCGGTAGGAGTATCTTTGCCCTTAGTGAGAGAAAGTCTCCAGATAACGTTGTCGTGGAGGGCACGTCGGAGGTGAGCAATGAGCGCCCCACTATCCCAGTCGGTGAGCTTGGCGACGGCATACCATTCGGGAGGAATGTCGTAAGGGATCTATGGCCTTGTTTCATGTCAAAGATTTTGAGTTGGGCGGTAGCTTTAGCGTCAATATCCCCGAAGGCTGACTGAAGGGTGTTTTTATGGCATTGACATCGTCGAAGAGAACCACCCCATCTTTAATGTTGTAGCGGACTTGGTCATGTGCTTTGCCTTTAAGGCATGAGACGACATATCCCATACGTTGAGGTTCCGAGTTCCACCAATCTTTATTCATTTCGAGCTTCAACTCGAGGTGCTGGAGGAAATTCGGCAGAAGCGTGGGGTCCTCTCCGGTGAAGGCCTCAGGATCAGGGTGTTCTGGTGTGCGGTGTGAAGCTCCTTTGACTGAATGATCTTTATGTACGCTTCATTTTCTGCCATAAGACGGGCGATCATTGCGTCTCCATCACTTTTAGAAATGAGCGTGTTTTCTAGGCGGGTTTGGAGGTCCTCCATTGCCCTATTTGTCGTCGTGGTCGAGGCACGTAGTGAATCGATTACCGCTTGCATACTGTATGCGGCATTGCATACGAGGAAGACTTCTTTCATGAGACCGGCTGGGTTAGCAACAAAGGCATTTCGGAACGTTTCATCGGTATTGCTGGCGTTGAGGAGGGGCAGGGGGCACTCGATCGACGGGTGTGGGGTAGCGGTAGCCATTGGGTTGTTGACGGTGATGGCTATAGTGCAGGTGGCGTTCGACAGTTTCGTTACGTTTTAGTTGACTTTGCGATTGTGATTTGTTGGTTTGTTGGTTTGCTGATTCGTTGATTGGTGAATTTGGTGCGGTGGTGGTGGTTTAGGTGGAAATTTGGTTGCAGGGTGTTTTGGTGAGGTTAGAGGTATCGAAATCAATAGTCACGTCGCGGACAGTGGTCTATTGAGGAAGGGTAGTCGGTAGACAATATGTGACGGTACAAGTGCACGAACAAGGTCGAGTGCGACTTGGGTAAAGTGATTGTCTACAAGAGAGAAAGAGGTTCCTAAGGAAGACTCTGACTTTCGCTATTTACATGAATAAAAGCGGGACCTTTCATAAAGTATGAAAGTCACATGATCGTTCCCTCACACGTACGACGTACATTCACTCAAATTGGAAGAAGAAGTGGCATAAAACTGCTTTCAAACAGGTCAAAGACCTGTGGCACTCATACCGAGATACAAACGACGGTACAATTTCGTATCAGGCACTTGACGAAGAGGAAAACAATGATCTTGATGCATTTGATCGTATTTCGAGAAATCTGCAGAATTGTGCTCGACCTACAAGTCAAGACGAGTATGAAGATTACATCTCAGGTGATCCATACGACATTGCGCCAACAACTGCCTTATCATGGTGGCTTCAAGAGCGACATAGGAAACGATGGCCGAAGTTATCACGAATGGCAATAGATATCCTATCAATGCCAGCGATGAGTGATGAACCGGAACGGGTTTTCAGGGCTCGTCGTACGATCTCCTGGGAAAGGGCACAATTGGATGCGGACCAAATTGAAAGGAGAATGCTTGAAGCATTGGGTGAAGAACAATGTCTTGAAGGGGGAAGAAGGGGCTGTGGTGTGAGATTTCGTGTAAATTCCCCGTCTGATTTCCCTCCTCTTTTTGGAATAAAACACGCAAGATTTGCCTACCCCTTCTTTTTTGACATTATCATTAAGCTCAATAAATTACTTCGTATTTTTAATTCACTATATGGTGTGAATTTGTCCATCTTGTCGGAGGCGTCGTCAGTGACATTTTGTCGTCGTGCACGGACCAAGTATGTATGTATGTATGTGTATTTCACCCGGAGGATTTCTCCTATAGGGCCTAGACGTAAAAGCTACTGAGGATCCCCGAGGTCCATACACGTGACGCTAAGGGTCACGTGTGCGTGTGCGCACCTCCCTTACAATCCTACTATAGCTATATGCTACATTCCCACACTGGCAAATCTTCTTTTATCGCTGCAATCGCAGCAGTAGCAGCAGGTGCGGGAGCGTAGCAGCAACCGCAAGGTGCGACCGCAAGGGTGCGAAAGAGTGACGGTTCGAGCGGCAGCTAGAGGAGGGCGTTCGACTGATAAGGATTTCCGGTGATCTGCCGGATCGGGCGATTCGCCGGATTCACCGCCAGTTCACGTCTCCACTTCAATCCTGAATTTCTCCACCACCATGGCCCCGATTGATGAAGCGCTTGAGTTTCTGAAGCTGTGTGACACTGTTAACTATGCCAAGACTGCGCGTCAGTTCAATTGCGACGAGACTACCCTGCGACGGCGACACCAAGGCAAACAGAGGTCAAGACGGGATGCCGACAGTTTGTATAAGTCACGTCTCTCAAAACAGCAAGAAAGGGATCTTGTTGCGTATATTCGCAAGCTTTCATCACGTGGGATTCCGCCTACGCTGCCGATGATCAAAAGTTTTGCCCAGGATATCGCCAAAATTGAGGTCGGAAAGGACTGGCCGTATAGCTTCGTCCGACGTAACAGCGATGAGCTCGGTTGCACTTGGTTCGACGGTTTTGATATCGCAAGAAAGAGAGCAGACAATGCTTCTAGATACAGAGCCTACTATGAGCTTGTAAGTAGGTGCCCAAGTCCATCCCTTCATTGCTGATCGTACAAGATTGGCGAGAAAATCGAGAAATACGACATCCTGCCTTGCAACACGTATAATGTGGACGAAAAGGGCTTTCTCCTCGGCGTCATCAATCGTACCAAGAGAGTATTCTCTGTTCGTGCCAAGAAGCAAGGAAAATTGATCGGTGCTGCGCAGGATGGCAACAGATCATGGATCACGTTCCTGGCATGTGTCTGTCAAGACCTGACAGCGCTACCCCCGTTTCTCATCTACCAAGGCAAGCCAGGGCAAGTTCAGGACTCCTGGCTCACGGAGTTTGATCCGGAGCACCAAGCGGCGTTTTTCACAACCTCAGAAACGGGTTGGACGAACCATGAACTTGGAAAGGAATGGCTCATTGGTGTTTTCGACCGGTTCACGAAAGAAAAGGCGCGAAACGGCCGGGATTACCGCCTCCTGATTACCGACGGACACTCTAGTCATGTCAATATGGACTTCCTGGAGTGGTGTGACCAGCATCGGATAATCGTTGCCGTGTTTCCGCCGCATTCCACGCACAGGCTGCAGCCCTTGATGTGTCCCTTTTGGCCCTCTTTCGACCGCATACACCAACCAGCTCATCCAGTGGACTGCAAAGACACAGGGACTCATCGGGCTATCGAAACGCGAGTTCTGGTCGTTATTTTGGAACGCATTCGGGTCATCTTTCTCGGCGGAGAACATCGCAAGTGGTTGGAAACGGACCGGACTCCTCCCATTTGACCCTGAAGTCGTTTTGTCGCAGATCGCGGAGAAAACAGAAGATGAGTCTGAGTCTGGCGACAGCTCCGTTGACTCGCTCGCCCTGCAGCAGCCCACTGCTCGGGATTTGCGCCGACTTGTCGACAAGGTAGTCGATGGATCCTCAAAAAACGCTAGCCGAGACAGTCGGAAGCTCAAAAGTACTCTCGAAAGTCTCCAATCTCAGAACGAATTGCTTCGATATGAGAATCAGGGACTTCGGAGACTATCTTTCACGAAAAGCAGCGCAGAATGCGCGGTAAAGCTCTGAAGGATTACCTTTCGATCGTGTAGATCCTAACTCGGCGCAGGTATTTAGCCCTGCAAAGTGGCCCAAGCGCGCTTGAAGAAAGCAGCCATGGAGACTCAGAAGCAAGAAGAGGCCTTGGAGAAAGAACGACAAAGGTTTGAGCGACAGCAAAAGGCGGCAAACCTCAAAGTTCTCGCTCTGGAGAAGAGAAGGCAGCGGGAGGCAAAAACTGAGCAAAGACGTCAGGCAAAGGAAGCCAGACAACAAGAGCGGGAGAAAAACAGGCAGATACGGAAAGAGCTCAAGCGAAAGAACCAGAAAAATGTCGGAAATGGGATCCGGACCTCTGTTGCTCCACAGACTCGCGAGAAGAGTCCGGGCGTTCGAGACGAGATTGTCGTCGCCATTTCGGCTCCACCAGAACCGACGACAGCTCCGGAACACTCAAAATCGCCAAACATTAAGTTGCGTAAAGATCCAAAGCCGGCATTGACCACTTCCTCACGTCCCAAAAGCCATCATTGGCTGTCGAGCGCGACCAGGAGATGGTAGTCGCAATGCGGGGACTTGCGCGATCGGGACGCCACAGGAAGCGGCCACGGTGGCTTGATGACTGCGAAGTAGATTGAATGGAATTGCTAGGCATCTTTCTTGCTTCTGCTTTAATGTGAGATTGTTTCATATTATTTTCGTGGAGTTTCACTCAAATCTTCACCGGAATGCAAGGGAACCAAAATCCGGCGAATCGTCCGATCCGGCAGATCACCGGGAAATCCCTTAGTCCGTAAGCCCTCTGATCTTCCAACGCCGGATTCTGGCTGGGCGCCGGTAACAGACCATTCCTCCCACGTCCTCCCAGCTCTCGTTCGCAGCACCATGTCGCGAGAACACCCAGCCACTGTCGCACCCGAAGAGGTTCGTCCTCACCGATTACAAAGCCCAGGGTAAAACGTTCGTGGAAGTACTGTTGGAGCTGCGTGGAAATCGTGTGACCAATGGTGAACCCTCCAGGTGCGATTTTACGAGCCTCTATGTGCAACTGTCCAGGTGCATCTCGCTTCGGGCATCAAGCTTCTTGGTCCTGTGAGACACCATGATTTCATTGGCAATGGGCTGGATCCGGCCATAATTGATGGAATGCAGAGACTCAAGAACTTGGCCGCAGAAACGAGAGGGTTATACGAGGACCAAGGTTTCGAAAAGTAGTGGTAGTATACTAACCATCCTGATAGTTTGACCTTTTGCACGTCGTAACGCGGCAGGTAAACGTCCTACACTTCATAAGGTGACCGGACCGCACCCCAGTCGTCTGGATCTCGATCCTCCCTTCCCAGAGCGCAAGTGCTTTTGGCTTTCACAATAATTCACCCACCATTTCTCAAACGCGTGGCGGCTGTAGAGCCATCCCGGCGGCCCGTCTCCTTCCTCGAACAGATCCAGGATATAGTCGCAAAACATCCACACACCTTCAAGATGCTGCGGATAAAATGGCTTCCGTCCTTGCGCGTGACCACGACGGTGCCAACTTGTGACTGCCATTCTGGAGGTGCAAACCGGAGTTGGCTTCAATACTGAGATACGTAGCAATCTGGTTGTCGAGGTTCGGCCCTGTTGACCTAGGATGATTTGCAGATGGAGAAACAATCTTCTCAAAGCACACCACGATCGGCCAGCTTCTACTCGATCTGCGGTGCTGTCGACCAACTAAGCCTATCCCTTCACCGCCGACCAAGCATGGCTGCTGACCTGTCCATATGCGACTCCATCCCCTCTGCTTTACCCTGCTCCATCGCAACCATCATTTGCCTCATCGCCGTCCCACTTGTCCCGCCCGGAGCTCGACCATACACGGACTCAGCAAACATCCGAAGCTGCATCGGGAATCGTGAATCCCCATATTGCTCGATGATGTCGCTCTTTTCCACCGCGCATCGTAGGTCGTGCCATTGCGACGGGGTCATGCCGAGTGTCTCACTCTTTCTTCTTCTTTGCATCCCACCACGGCGGCAGTAAACCGGGACAACGCTCGACGCGCCCCAGGAAGCGCTTGAAGCCACGCAGCCCATTGGCGGCACCACCATATATGCTATCCGTGTCTGCTTCGCCTTCAATGTTGTACATGTCCTCAACGCGCAGCCGGTAAGCGTCGATCAGCAACCCGTAGACATCTCTTTCCGATCGATCATGGAGCCAAGTGCGATTTTCAAGACGCGTGAAGGGGTGGGCGACGCCGTGTTCCAACCCTTCGGAGGCGACAAATTTGTCGTCGTAGACCCATCTTGAAACGACGTCGTGGCGTCGGCCTGTTGTTTGCTGCAAACCTTCTTGTGGGCCTTCCAGTCTGCCTTCTGGCAATCCCTGGAGCAGTACGGCGTTGTGGAACATTTCGCGCACCTCTTGAGGGCGACTTCAGGCGGCGACTTCTTGCAGCTATTGCACTCAAGGGCCATGATGACCTAATTCCGATGACCAAATCGTTGCAGGTTGCTTGTGTGAAGAGGCTGAATCAATTTGAAGCTTATTTGTGCCGCAGGGTGGAGATGAGGGGTAGGCTTAAACAGGTAAGGTGCTGTAGCGGGTCCAAGCAGCCGCACTACCCCTCTCTTCTCCAACAGACTTGTCTACGTTTAAAAACCAACCCGAATGCTCGCGCTCGGCTATGCCAACTCTCGTCCCGTTCCTCAAGGCATTGGCGGGCCCTGAAAGGGGCCGGTCTCCTGTACTAAATTTCAGTGGTTTCTCGGTGAAAGTATTTTCCGACCTGTCCACGACTTGGACGCGCGGTAGCTAGTTCTTCAAACCTTCGAGTATTTGTCTTTGCCAAATGAACCCACTCTGTCACGGACCTGAGCGCCAAGGGTATCACGCGCGCCATCAACAATCGGCGCCATGGTTGTTGTTCATTGATGTCTGGTATGGATTTATTTCGCCAAGATGATACTTCCCATAGGGCCTAGACGATCTGGCTATTGGCGGTTCGATACACTGATGCATGGCACCTCAAGCCCCACAGATCATCATACACTGCGCCAATCATTCCACTGTTCGCTCCATGACAGACCTGCTTGAAGGTCAATTTCTCCAAGTGTTCAGCGTCCTACCCTCGGAGCTGTCGAGCCGGCTGCGAGTCACGGCAACGTCGGAGGCGGCCGCGGCGCGGATTGGCGGCATCACCCTGCACTCGGCCTGCGGCCTCTCGGTCGTGCAGTGCGGCGAGGCTAGGGGGCGACGAGATAGGTCGACGGGGTGCGGCTGTCGGGCCAGGGCGAGAACAAGCCACTATAGCTACCTTAATTTTTCTCTCAACCGGACCGCTTGACCTTAGCGCATACATTGAATGGGGCATGAGTCTGACCGAGTGCTTCCGCAACCGCCCTAGTGATCATGATTACAAGAATCGGGCCGCGACTCCGGTGTTCGTTGGCCGGCTTCTGTCCTCATGCTCCTAAACAACCTTCACTACAGGCGAGCGATAACTGTGACCGCGCGGTTACTGGCCACTACGAGATTCCAATAGCCGTGCGAAGTCGTCTCCAGCCGCGAAGGCTCCCTGACGGATTGCGTTGCCATTGACCCGCTGGTGTGGGAGGGCTCCTGGATTGGTTGTTTCGGCCAAGAGATAGAGAAGCCTCGGCTTGAACTAGCTGATTGTCGTTGCAATGAAAGCTGTTGTGGCGACTTGATAGCAGCTCCGGAGTCGTCGGCGCGGGAGGGATGGCTTAGGCTGGAATGAAGAGGCGGGGAGGTGCCCATCTGCAAGAAATGGGCGATATAGTCGTCGCTGATGCCATGTGTGTTGAGGAGCCCACGTAGTACTTTGTTCTCCTCGGCTACTCTCCTTGCGGCCAACTGCATATCGGTAGAGGCCTTAATGCCTTGAAGCTCGTAAGTTTTCACTCGCTGTTCGAGCTCGAGGAGATGCTCTCTTCGTCGGGCACGCGATCTTCTCTGGTTGTCTCGAATTCGGGCTAAGCCATCCTTTTGCTAAAACAAAGCAAAAGAGGGAAGAAGTCTTGTGTTAGCCAAACCCACACGCGCCTGCGATCTCAGGTGGGGGTTCATCACGTACTCCGCGGGTTGACATCTGGCCCACAGGATTCTCTCTAGGCTATGCTTCGTAAGCTCAGGGGAAGACGAAGTGCAAACGAGACAGAAAATGCTTCAGTTGAGTATCAGGGTTGTGCTGAATATCGGGAGAGAATCATGGGTTAGGGGGGAAGGGGGAAATGGGAAGTAGGAGAACAGAAATCTGAACTATCTCTCGCTGGGAGAAGATATCCGTAAGACGCTGATACTGCAGTCGGAGTGCAAGTTTGGCTGTCTCGCAACTGTCTGTCGGGATGCCTCATGCATATTCCTGTTCCGGGGCCAGGGTCCGCCGTTACTTAGCCAATGTCCGCGAATCACCCTGGAATGGTTCGTGCATCCTTTACTGGGACACCCTAGGCTTTATGGGCCGATCACATCACTACTTCTTCCAAGTTATTACCGCTACTTCCTGACAGAGGCAGGGGTGAATCGAGTCGTGCAGGCTGGTCAACTGCCTCCCTTATCACTACATGCTGGTGATAAAAGGTGTCAGAGAAGGATTGTTTCACAGCCTGCCTTCATTAAGTAGATGAGCTACTTGTTTCATTGTCTTTGGCCATTGAATGATACAGAATGTCTAGGGCTCCAGGACTCCTCGCGATTTCCGCAAAAGAGGTCATAGACAGGCGACGTTTTCACTTGGTGTCACAGGTCCCGGGGCCGGCTGACCGGTCATCCGGTAATCGGATTACCGCCCCGCCCCACGCAAAACCATGTCGTTTTCGAAGGCCCGGCCCTGCGGGGCTGGCGTTTTCTTAGTCGGATTACCGCCATCGGACGGCAAAATCGAAGGTCCACGCCCGCGGGGCCCTGCGCGAGACCTTCGATTTCGGTCTCGCTCACGCGCGTTGCGCTCCACCTCCCTCCTCCCACCTCCCTCCACCACCTCCTCCATTGCCACCGTCGCGACGGCGACCGCCTGCACCATGTCGAACGCGATAGAGGATCCCCGGGTCAGGGCGGCCATTGAGCACTACCTGTTAGATCTGGAGAACACCCAGCCGAAGAATACGAAGCGAAATTATCGTCCCAAGCAGGAAGAATGGAAGGCAAGCCCGCATGCGCGCCCTGCAATCTTCATGTAGATCCATGCATTGACTGCCTCACAGGAGTGGTGTCAAGCCAACTGGCCTGCGATCCCGGACGTTTGGCCGGCCTCGGTACCACAGGGCCAACAGCTACCGGGAGACCTGGTCGATGAAGGAAAGCTCTTGCTCTTCATGAAGGAGGTAGTGGCATCACGTCCTCCAAAGAAAGGAAAGAGGGTCGCCGATGAAAGAAAACGACACCTCGAGGCTCAGGAAGCCAAGAGGGCCGTGAAAAGACGCAGAGCACCATCAGGTAACAGATGTTGATCACGGGATGTGGTCGTCGGACTGAGCCAGCCCATCATACTAACACCCAGCTTCCCCCAGCAGATACCATCGTTGTAGGCGGCGGAGGTAGCGAATACGAGTCAGACTCCGACTTGGAGTTGTATGAGTCCACGCTCAAACTACAGTATAATACTGTACGGGGCTACGTCTCGGCCATACAGAAGCTTTACGACGAGCAGAAGAGCCGGGAGTCAATCCTGCGGCCCGGCCACGGGAGTGGCACTGAAGGCGCTCAAACGCAGCATTCTTGCAACGACTTGGAGCCGGAAGAGGAAGGAATACATGGACAGGGGAGTTGGAACTCTGAGAGATGTGTATGCGCCGGCGCAGATACCCGACCACACCAACGTGGCATGGTCCGAGAGAGAGATCGCCTGCGCCCTGAGGACGCAGGTGGACTTTCTGCTCGGGAACCACATGCTGCTGCGGTCCGGCAACCGCCTGCCGATGGAGTTGGCAGACTGCTTTCCCTGGACTTACCCAACGAGGGCTTCAAGGCCCAGGGTATACCACAAAGGCGCTGGTTGTCGTGATGAACTGTGGGAAGACCAACCAGCACGGCCGCATGGAGTATGGATCTGCTTTGCGGCATCGAGATCCGCGATCTTGTCTCATCGGCGCCCTCGCGTTCTGGCTTTTCTGGCGCTGGCAGGTAGAAAAGGCGGAAAGGTTTCCGTCTTCCAAAGAAGCGAAGACTGGTATGAAACGAAGGTGCTCCGCCGATCGGCGAAGGAGCCTCAAGGTAAGCGTGATGGCATTCACCGGAATCCCATAACTCAGAGGGTGCATCGACCCTTTCACTCACCGAATATACAGCTCCGTTGTCGGGCCAGACTGCCCGAGAATGGACGTCCAGGTTCTACAAGAGGCCGGCATCAAGGTCTCCAAGGTCAGCCACGCGCCTAGAGTGGCCGCGACGCAAAACGCCGACATGGCCGGAGTGGATGAAGGCCAGGCATGTCATCTGCCCTAGGCAAGCCGCCAACCCCCTGGCCTGGGCTGACCCGAACTATACAGATCCGCCGAGCCGGTCGTTGGAATAACGGAGACCAAATGACCGGCTGCTATCTGACTTCCCTGCCTTTCGAATTCATGAGGCCGTGGCCGACTTTGACCCTGAATGGTCGGGGTCTTATTTCGTGCCCGGGCCACCGTGAGGCCGCCTGTGGTGCTACTCGTGCAGGTCTGGCCTCAACTCGACAAATGGAAGAGGCCCACAGTAGCCCTTTCTCAGATCTCGGGTGGAGCAGAACATGGCCGCCGGCGCCTTCTTGGAACTCCTGGAGTGGCTTCGAGAGGTGCTCCTGCAGGACGCTGTCTTCCTTCGCGAGTCCTACCCGACCATCCTATCTTTCAGGATCCGGTCTTCTCTTGCCCCGAGTTTGAAGCGTTCGCCAGCAAAGTTCAAGACACATGCACACGGGACCACGAAGACAGCCATACCACGGTCATTCAAAAAGCGATCCCGGTGGTTGCGGAGAAGCTGCGCACAGTACTGACTCAACAGGTCGCAGCCGAGCAGTTAGCTGAGCGAAGACATCTAGACCTTTGGGGCTTCTTACGAACTATGCACAAAGTTGGATGAGTTTGCGCAGGCCACCTACACCGTCACCTTCAGCCCCGGCCAAGGTGCTGCAGGTCAACATGCGGAGATCGCGGGAGCTCATCAACAGAGGCGCCGCGCTCCACGAGAGACGGTCCTCAGGTCCGAGATAGGCCCTTCGCAAGCGGGCGGTCCGACATACGCTCCGCTCTCTAGAGCAGCAGCAGGAATGGTGCAAGCGGGCCAGGGCAAGCCCCAGGGAAGAGCGCATGGCGAGCCGCCTGGGCCGCGCGAACCTCCGAGCTTCAAGCTCCCCGTTCTGTCAAATCTGTACAGGAGCTGCTGCGTCTCTGGCGGCAGGGCTGGGGCGAAATGCCTTCTGTGGATTCTCTTGAGCGAGACTGGGGTGCTCGATGGCGGCCATCTGCAGAGAAGAATTACCTTTCCACGCGCAAGATCATCGTCGATGAGGTTCGGAGGCGGGCCCAGTCGGACGGCTTAACTGAAGATATCGTGGCGAGGCAAATGGACGAAGAACGTGGACCCAGCTCTTTGGATAAGTTGTTCAAGGCCATCCGAAAGGACAGGCAAGGCGAAAAGGGACACAAACGTGCGTCGGGGCAATTCAACGTCGGTGGTAGCGAAAAGTCGATGGCGCAGTGATTTTGAACACCCGTCTGATAGAATGACGAGGACCTTGGCGGCGAAAGTGCCCCCAGGCCGTCAAGGGCTGCGTCGCTACAGTCAGCGGTAGTGGCCTGTAGACAGGGTATGCATCCGCTAAGCGCCGCTGTAGCTCCAGTGCGTCAAGGCTAGAAAATGCTTCAAATCACCGCAACCTCGCAACCGACAGGATGTAGGACCTTAGACAGGGTGCATTCTGATCGCACAAACGCAGGCTATCCAGTCGAACTGGTTTTGTCGTCGTCGGTCCCGGCTTTCGCGCTTTATGGCGCTCCGAAGATGACATCAACCCGGCAGAGGTGATGTCAAGGGCAAGCGGGTAATCGGCGGTAATCTGCGGGGTAATCCGCTGACCGCCCACCAAAGCCGGACCTGTGACATCCACTTGATGTCAATGATCTATTGTGTAGTGTTCTCTACTATGAAGGCGTATGGCAATGTAACTACGACGTTAGAGAGCAGTGGCCAGTGTTAAAAGACGAGTTGATCATTACATGCTTGTCCTTGCCGTGGCATCTTCGTCCATATCTCTCAGGCTTTCACTCGCATATCTCTTCAGTTTTAAAATACTGCGCCACACCTTGCACTTTAGTGTTTAGGGCTGTGGTGCAAGGCGTACAATCAGCCGAAGGCTGCGAGTCTGGCTACCAGTCAAGCAGTCACCGAACAATCAGTACAGTATCTGCAATCATACATTCATCCTGTACGGATTTTGAGTGAGAACCCGTCGTTTGCGAAGTTGCTGATCCCTCATTTTCATCCTAATTCCTTCCGGCGGCGACGCATAAGTCAGGTGATTGCGGTCAAGCGGGGCATCCAGCATCAGACCCTGCAGCGTTTTCACACGCGAGACGGCCACGTAGCTCAAACCGGTCTGAAAGTCACGGCAGGACAGATCCGTCACGATCATGTCTTCGGTGATGCTCTGCGACTTGTGAACTGTAATGGCGTAGCATACGATCAGGGGAAACTGCGTACGAGTGCAGAGTGTGGCTCCGACGAGGAAGTCCCTGTCTACTGGCAGAATCGGGACAATCTTCCTGCCATCTGCGGTGATCAGGAATACCGGCCCCGTGTACTTGTGTGCATTATAAAATGTCACTGTTCACGAGCTTCATGGTGTTTTTGATACTCCGTATAGGGTGGCAAGATTGCTGAAACGGCGGGCGTATCAGGCACTCACTGTTAGGGTCGTTATACCAAGTGGATGTCACAGGTCCGGCTTTGGTGGGCGGTCAGCGGATTACCCCGCAGATTACCGCCGATTACCCGCTTGCCCTTGACATCACCTCTGCCGGGTTGATGTCATCTTCGGAGCGCCATAAAGCGCGAAAGCCGGGACCGACGACGACAAAACCAGTTCGACTGGATAGCCTGCGTTTGTGCGATCAGAATGCACCCTGTCTAAGGTCCTACATCCTGTCGGTTGCGAGGTTGCGGTGATTTGAAGCATTTTCTAGCCTTGACGCGCTGGAGCTACAGCGGCGCTTAGCGGATGCATACCCTGTCTACAGGCCACTACCGCTGACTGTAGCGACGCAGCCCCTGACGGCCTGGGGGCACTTTCGCCGCCAAGGTCCTCGTCATTCTATCAGACGGGTGTTCAAAATCACTGCGCCATCGACTTTTCGCTACCACCGACGTTGAATTGCCCCGACGCACGTTTGTGTCCCTTTTTCGCCTTGCCTGTCCTTTCGGATGGCCTTGAACAACTTATCCAAAGAGCTGGGTCCACGTTCTTCGTCCATTTGCCTCGCCACGATATCTTCAGTTAAGCCGTCCGACTGGGCCCGCCTCCGAACCTCATCGACGATGATCTTGCGCGTGGAAAAGTAATTCTTCTCTGCAGATGGCCGCCATCGAGCACCCCAGTCTCGCTCAAGAGAATCCACAGAAGGCATTTCGCCCCAGCCCTGCCGCCAGAGACGCAGCAGCTCCTGTACAGATTTGACAGAACGGGGAGCTTGAAGCTCGGAGGTTCGCGCGGCCCAGGCGGCTCGCCATGCGCTCTTCCCTGGGGCTTGCCCTGGCCCGCTTGCACCATTCCCTGCTGCTGCTCTAGAGAGCGGAGCGTATGTCGGACCGCCCGCTTGCGAAGGGCCTATCTCGGACCTGAGGACCGTCTCTCGTGGAGCGCGGCGCCTCTGTTGATGAGCTCCCGCGATCTCCGCATGTTGACCTGCAGCACCTTGGCCGGGGCTGAAGGTGACGGTGTAGGTGGCCTGCGCAAACTCATCCAACTTTGTGCATAGTTCGTAAGAAGCCCCAAAGGTCTAGATGTCTTCGCTCAGCTAACTGCTCGGCTGCGACCTGTTGAGTCAGTACTGTGCGCAGCTTCTCCGCAACCACCGGGATCGCTTTTGAATGACCGTGGTATGGCTGTCTTCGTGGTCCCGTGTGCATGTGTCTTGAACTTTGCTGGCGAACGCTTCAAACTCGGGGCAAGAGAAGACCGGATCCTGAAAGATAGGATGGTCGGGGTAGGACTCGCGAAGGAAGACAGCGTCCTGCAGGAGCACCTCTCGAAGCCACTCCAGGAGTTCCAAGAAGGCGGCGGCCATGTTCTGCTCCACCCGAGATCTGAGAAAGGGCTACTGTGGGCCTCTTTCCATTTGTCGAGTTGAGGCCAGACCTGCACGAGTAGCACCACAGGCGGCCTCACGGTGGCCCGGGCACGAAATAAGACCCCGACCATTCAGGGTCAAAGTCGGCCACGGCCTCATGAATTCGAAAGGCAGGAAGTCAGATAGCAGCCGGTCATTTGGTCTCCGTTATTCCAACGACCGGCTCGGCGGATCTGTATAGTTCAGGTCAGCCCAGGCCAGGGGTTGGCGGCTTGCCTAGGGCAGATGACATGCCTGGCCTTCATCCACTCCGGCCATGTCGGCGTTTTGCGTCGCCGCCACTCTAGGCGCGTGGCTGACCTTGGAGACCTTGATGCCGGCCTTCTTGTAGAACCTGGACGTCCATTCTCGGGCAGTCTGGCCCGACAACGGAGCTGTATATTCGGTGAGTGAAAGGGTCGATGCACCTCTGAGTTATGGGATTCCGGTGAATGCCATCACGCTTACCTTGAGGCTCCTTCGCCGATCGGCGGAGCACCTTCGTTTCATACCAGTCTTCGCTTCTTTGGAAGACGGAAACCTTTCCGCCTTTTCTACCTGCCAGCGCCAGAAAAGCCAGAACGCGAGGGCGCCGATGAGACAAGATCGCGGATCTCGATGCCGCAAAGCAGATCCATACTCCATGCGGCCGTGCTGGTTGGTCTTCCCACAGTTCATCACGACAACCAGCGCCTTTGTGGTATACCCTGGGCCTTGAAGCCCTCGTTGGGTAAGTCCAGGGAAAGCAGTCTGCCAACTCCATCGGCAGGCGGTTGCCCGACCCGCGCAGCATGGGGTTCCCGGGCGGAAAGGCCACCTGCGCTCTCAGGGCGCCTTCCGGCTCCAAGTCGTTGCAAGAATGCTGCGTTTGAGCGCCTTCAGTGCCACTCCCTGTGGCCGGGCCGCAGGATTGACTCCCGGCTCTTCTGCTCGTCGTAAAGCTTCTGTATGGCCGAGACGTAGCCCCGTACAGTATTATACTGTAGTTTGAGCGTGGACTCATACAACTCCAAGTCGGAGTCTGACTCGTATTCGCTACCTCCGACGCCTACAACGATGGTATCTGCTGGGGAAGCTGGGTGTTAGTATGATGGGCTGGCTCAGTCCGACGACCACATCCCGTGATCAACATCTGTTACCTGATGGTGCTCTGCGTCTTTCACGGCCCTCTTGGCTTCCTGAGCCTCGAGGTGTCGTTTTCTTTCATCGGCGACCCTCTTTCCTTTCTTTGGAGGACGTGATGCCACTACCTCCTTCATGAAGAGCAAGAGCTTTCCTTCATCGACCAGGTCTCCCGGTAGCTGTTGGCCCTGTGGTACCGAGGCCGGCCAAACGTCCGGGATCGCAGGCCAGTTGGCTTGACACCACTCCTGTGAGGCGGTCAATGCATGGATCTACATGAAGATTGCAGGGCGCGCATGCGGGCTTGCCTTCCATTCTTCCTGCTTGGGACGATAATTTCGCTTCGTATTCTTCGGCTGGGTGTTCTCCAGATCTAACAGGTAGTGCTCAATGGCCGCCCTGACCCGGGGATCCTCTATCGCGTTCGACATGGTGCAGGCGGTCGCCGTCGCGACGGTGGCAATGGAGGGGGTGGAGGGGGGGGGAGGAGGGAGGTGGAGCGCAACGCGCGTGAGCGAGACCGAAATCGAAGGTCTCGCGCAGGGCCCCGCGGGCGTGGACCTTCGATTTTGCCGTCCGATGGCGGTAATCCGACTAAGAAAACGCCAGCCCCGCAGGGCCGGGAACGACATGGTTTTGCGTGGGGCGGGGCGGTAATCCGATTACCGGATGACCGGTCAGCCGGCCCCGGGACCTGTGACACCATGCGCATCCATACGTGTGTGTCGGTGGACCAGGGTAGCCCTGTTAGGGAGGGACCCGGAGAAGGGATTCCTGGCCCATGTAGCAGGAACGCATGAGGACTTCCTGAGTAAGGAAGGCAACCCCTTTATGCGTGGGCACAGCCACGTATGCGTGGGTAGAGCCCATTACTCAGGAGGTCCCCAGAAGTCCCTAAGACCTCCTGTATAAATAGCCCCTTCAGACTGCCCCTTTAGACATAGAACATGCATCTTGAACCTTCGTGTGTGACCCCCTTCTTATTCCGATGTGTATTGGCATAACGTTCCACCAACAGTGTGTAAGTGGTTTGCGAGCCGGATACCATTTTACGACTGGTGCGGCAAACTGGCAATTAGACTGGCAGAAGGATGACCGTGCGGGCCCGCTGCTAGTCCGCAGTACATACTCTCATGCTGACCTGAAGTATCCGGATGACCAGGGGGCTGGGCGCCTAAACCCAAAAGAAAATGACAGGGAGTTTTGCAACAGTGACCCCTATCGCCCACCGTACAGGGGCAGGGGCAGGGAGTCGCGCAAAGCCGTCGAGCGTACGAGTGGACCAACGCATCCGGCAGAACGCGATAAACGACGCGGAGCTACGCGCCAATGCGCAGACGATCCTCTCTGCGATCCACGAGTCTCGGCCAAGGAATACGACCTCGGCGTACGCACCGAAGCAAGAGGAATTCGAGCAATTCTGCCGCCACAAACAGTACTGTGACGGCGCTACGGTCACAGAGGAGGCTCCTCCTCTTCCTCGTCGAGGAGGTGGCCGGTCGGCCCTTGAAGGTCAGGAGCCGCAAGGCCGCCACTGATACTCCGCAGGACGAGACCCGCCTGGCCTGGCGGTCGGTCCGAACTTATGTCACCGCAATCACGGATCTTTACCGGACGCAGAAGGCCCTCGGAATGAATACGCACCCGTCGCCGCGCGAGGACAACGTACGAGTACCTCAAGTCCCTACAGCGCCGGGACGCCCAACGAGACAGGGAGAACTATGCCGATAAAGGCCGCGATACTCTGCTCGATGGTTACTCGAGTCCGAGTTCGAACGAGTATGCCACGAGCTGTGGGCCCACAGCGGCACATCGCCCGAGTGTCATTTTCGGACCCTCGTGGATCTCCTCTTTGGCCATTATCTTCTCACCCGTGGCGGCGATCGTCGGGCTGCAGAGATCTCAGACCTATTCACCTTTGAGTTTGCCGGGGAGGGCTCGACCCGGTGCATGCCGCTCATCTTTACGACACGAGCCGGCAAGCAGAACCAGCACGGCCGCCTCGAGACCGCCGGCGCGTATCGGAATAGGAACCCGCTAATCTGCATCTTGGGTGGCCTCTCGTTCTACCTCTTGTATCGTTGGGATCTCGGTAGTGAGCCGTTTCGATTTCAGCAGGCGGTCCTCGTGGTACGACATCCGGCTAATCAAGGGTAACGGCACCGGCCGGACGGCGGCTTTCTCGTACAACTCACAGCGCGAGTGGGTTGTCAAGGCCTTCGCCTACGCCGGCGTCACGTCGCAGAAGAAGACGCATGTCGGCCGCAGCTCGGGGGCGAGGACGGCTGAACTAAAGGGGATTAGCGAAGACCAGATCCGTCGCGCGGGTCGTTGGAACCAGGAGCAGATGGTCGGCTGTTACCTGAACTCGTTGCCTCGCAAGTTCATGCGTACGATGGCCGGGCACCCGCCGCAGGCCGGATGCTTCGAGATACGCCGTGCCGGCGTGACGCCGCCGGAGGTCCTGCTCTCGATGATCTGGCCCGAGCTGGACCGTTGGCGAGGCCGGTTCGGTCCCGGTACCGAGCAGGAGAACGACCTGGCAGCGATGGGTTCGACGAACCTCATCTTCTATTTACGGGAGGTTGTCTTGCAGGATTCCGTTGTCCTGATGAAGAAATACCCCGGCAGCCCCGTTTGGAACCACCCGGTCTTCCGGCATCCGGCCTACGCCCCGTTCGCGCACCAGCTATCGGACTTCATCCTTGAAGAGGAGCGTCCAAGCCAGCTTGCAGTCCTAGTCCAGGCGATGCCGGTCCTCGCGGACTATCTTAAATCCATCGACGCGCGGAACGAAGCAAGGACGATCCAGCTTAAAACAGAGCTAAGCGAGCAGCTTCGAGCCACCGAAGAACGTCTTGCGGTAGCCCAGTCGTCCCTTTTTCGAATGGTTTCAACTTCAAGTTACGGCCGCGACGACCACCACTGCCACCACGGCCCCGGCCGTGGTTGATGTCGTTGGGCAGGAGGACGAGGAGATGGAAGCCGATTCGTCTCGGCTCAGTCGAGCATTGTTGATAGCCGTGCCACGAGCCCGACGGCGACAGATACGATCACGGTTAAGACAGAGCCACGGCCACGGTATCAGATGTGCCGAGCAGTAAAAATGGTCGAGGCGCTCTGGAGCGAGTGGACGGTTGGCCTTCGAGGCGGGCCAGCCATTGCCGACCTCGACGGTAGATGGGGAAGCCGGTGGCGCGCCGGGCGACAAAATGAATTGCAGTGGTATTCGTTACGGCTCGAGGTTATAAGGGAGATTCGCAAGGTGGCGAAGGCCCACAGGTGTAGCGAGGAGGCCGCGATGCACATTGTCAACTTACAACAGCAGCAAACCGGCTGCTCGCTGGACTTATTTTGCAAACAGCTCCGAGCCAACAGAAAGGCAAAAGTTGTACAACTAAAGAGGTAGAAATACACTATTTTTGTTTCCCCTCCCCCTCGTAATTTGACGAGCTCGTCGAGCCTTGAGAGCCCTTCAAGACGCGGCGTTCCGGGCGGCGGTCGGCCGTCCGGCCGACCGTGGACAAGGGTGGATATTGGAAGCCGCTGAGGGCACGGACGCTAAACGCTCAGCCGCTGAATCAGCCACCAAAACCCCGCTGTGGATATCCTATTGATGTCGACTGATGGCAACTTGGCGGGCGTGTGCCCTTGCATGGCCTGGACTATCCTCTGGCCGAATGCCCCGACCAAAAAACCTCCTAGGGGTCCGAGTGCGAGGCTGTAGTGGAGGTAGGCGTAGCGGAGGCGGGGCAGGACGAGGCTGCAGAACAGGCAGAGCAGGCAGAGCTGAAGGTGTCTGTGTAGCTGTAGGCTTACGCGCCGTTGGACTCTGCACATCCACGCTTGCATGTCGTTCGTGGATCGCTGAAAGGCCTCGAGTAGCTGCCATTAAGCGTTGAGCCTAGGTGAAGGAAGATTAGCAGACAAATTGGGGGAAAGGAGGCAAAGGAGAAACGCACACCACGATTATAAACCTGACGACAGGGGAGACATTTTCTAGTGCGCCTAGACGGGTCAATCAGATGAATGAATTGATCGTCTTGCTTGAACTGGTGGCATTGAATGCAAAGACGATCGGGAAGGGTATTGGGTAGATCTGAAAGGGCCCCCGTGGGAGGAGGATCCCTCGGAGGAGACGGAGACGGCATATAGATGTCATATAGGCAACTTTCTGGATGATTAATTTACCAGATTTCGAAAGGAGGACTAACGTCAAAGGAACCAATGCCAAAGGATTCGAAAAGAAGTTCAATGTCAATAGGATATCCACGGTCGGCCGGACGGCCGACAGCCCTCGGATACCAATTGCTTTTAAATCTACCCACGGCAACATCAAATCTTTACGCTAGACATGATTCTCGCTTCCATTATCACCGTTGCAGCCACACATGTATATCCTAGAGGGAAATCCCCCGCTGGTATTGCTGGCCGACACTGATCGCCCTTTTTGACTGGAATCAAGTAAATGTACATGCGACGCGTCCCGTCCCGACCAGACGCCAGATCTCGTCTGTCTTGCTCAGTGACTGAGGGCCATCTTGTCGCCTCTCCAGTCATCCGCGCGAGTTCCCGTCGGCAGGGCTGCTCCCCTTTTCTTCTTGTTTGCTGTAGTGCAGACGCTCCAGTATAGTAAACAACGCCATAGTGACATGATGGATAGGACAAAGGAAAGCAAAGGTGGCAAGTCGACTTCAAAGGCAAAAATTCGAAATCCGCTCGGCGTGCGAGCTTCATGTCTGCAGAATGTCGCAGCAGAGAAGAGAAAGCAGAGGGCCGCGGGGAAACAAACGCCCCTCAAGCAAAATGTCGTTATATCACGCCGTTGATGGCGGCCGGCTGGCTGATTGTCATGGGCATGCTCAGCGTTTGCAGGCTGTTGAACCCTGGCCCATGTTGCCTGTCGGCGTCGGCCGTTCGAACCCATGGCAACATCGCCCGCCTGGCTCATGGGGCCGGGGACGTAGGCCAGTTCTGAGGTTGGAGACGCTTCCTCGAGGGAGCCGAGTTGGTCCTCACCGGACAATTCCTCTTCCTCTTCGGCCGACATGTTCATCGAGCTCTCCACCGTCCTGATGGCTGTGCGTACGCTTGTGTCTGTGAGCATCGGCGGTTAGCATGGGCTGAAACTTCTCGAGAGCAAGACCTGAGACGTACTGGGCAAGATTGTCCGATCTCGAGAAAGCCTTGCTGCAATGTGGGCAGATGTAGGGCTTTTCTTGCGTGTGTGTTCTCACGTGTCTAAAGCTTTACAGTCAGATCATGGCGACATTGATGCACGTGGGCCCGAGGCCAGTCGACTTACCGCTTCAGGTGCTCTAAACGCTTGAAAAGACGGCCGCAGGTTGGAATGGGGCACGAGTGAGACTTGTGAGGGTAGGGGCCAAGTTCCATGACCATGGCCGAGCGAGCCCGACGAGCCACGCCGTTGGGGTTAGACACGGTCCGACGGTGGCCCTTGAGGGAGCCGTCGCCGTAGTCCTCAGAGGGCACTTGCGAGTAGTCATGTTGAAGGGCCATTGGGTTGAGCGCCGGGCTGCCGTCCACAGTGGAGAGCGGAGTGCCATGTCGAGACATGTCTACCACGTCCTTGTGCTGCTGGCTAGCTAGGGAGGCACCAGAGGCGCTGTACGACAAGCCAGGCGGCGAGTTATCAGCCGACTCGTCACCCTCCGGGACCGGGCCCACCGAGGCTGACACAGACCTCCTCAGGTCCGAGGGTCGGTGGGCGGTCGTGTTGGCAACTGGTGGAGCGCCCATCGCCGACATCGACGGGGGAATGGACGAGCGCCTCCTTCTCTGCTTGTACGTGGGCGAGCCCTCGATGACCGAGTAGACGTTGTTGGTGCCGTAGGGCCGAGAGAATTGAGATCCGGCCATTTTGAAAGGAGGGAGCTGGGCCACCCCGTTGAGGCCGTTCATACCCGGGACGTGGTCTGGAATGGCCGAGTAGAGACCAGTCTCCTCGTTTGCAATGTACGCGGGTTCGCCGGCCATGCCCAGGGCTTGCTGGGGAGGGGTAATGGGCTCAAAGGAGATGTCCCGGTTGCTGTAGTCCTCGTACTGCGACGAGACGAAGGACGGGGCGGGGGAGTACTCGAGGCCGTAGGCGGGCATCGAGGCGTGGCGCTGGTGCCCGTGGGACATCGGGACGCCGTTTTGGTTGTACTGGGTGCGAGCGAAGTCAGGATCCCTCTTGACCGGCTGGACCTGTTGGATCACGGCGGACGTCATGGGCATCGAGTCGTACGATACCATGCCGTCCATGCCCTCGCCCAAAGGGGCCATTGGCTGCGGCATCATGTTTGGGGGGGGCATGGGGTCCATGTTCCGCATGACTGGGGACGTGCTAGGTCCCTGGGAGAAGGAGGGCTGCTGCGCGCTAAAGGAGGACGAGTTGGCTTGTTGCGTCTTGGTCAACTGCTCGTACAGCGACTGCGAAGAGTCGTATTGAAACGACATGGCGGGCTCGCTGACGGCGACGGTGGTGGCCTCTTGGTCCATCTTCTCTCGCTTCAAGTCACGTTCGAGTGCGTCCAGGAAGAGGCGGTCGTGAGGCACGCTGTACCAGTAAAAGACCTTTTGCTTCTTCTGGGTTCGAATGCAGTTGTTCTTGTAGAGAAAGTCGAGAAACGCGCTTTTGGGCTCTTCGAGCGAGGCATCGGTGCCAGACTTGAGGTTTCGCAGATCGGAAAAGATGCCCTCCTCGAACTTCTTTGAGTTCCTGACCGGCCGGCCAAAGGCCTGAAATCTGAAGGAGAGACATCGCACAATATCGGTGCCCGAAATATGAAAGAGATTGTTCCTGGAACGTCATTGTCAGTCGCTTGGACCCACGCGCTCCTAGGTATGTCTTGGTATCGCCTACCATAAGACGCAAGAGACGTATTCACCGGTTGGTTGGAGGAACCGGCGGATGTACTGATCTGGTTGCCAATCGACAGGCGCAGAGATGAGGAAGTATTTCACTGGGCCTCGGGTCAGCCCGCGGTATGCACAGACAGTGACACGCCGCTGCAGCACTTACGATTATCGACCTGCTGGAGCGCGACCTGCGCATCGTGCGGCAACGCCTGCTGCGCTTCGGTGCTCAGCATGAAGGTTTCGGGCTTCTGAGGCGCCATGGCACCGTGAGGCGGATACATGGTGCGCTTCGTCCGCCGAGGGTGGCACAAGAGGCGTAACCCCGGGAGCGAGTTGGGCTAACGGGGGCACAAGAGGCTCATCGTGAGGAGCGGGTCACGGAGTGTCCGGTTGACAGTCTGCCGAAAGTAAGACGAAAGTATCCTGGCAGGTGGACGAGAAGAGGTGGGCGCGGCGCGTCAGGCAGAGGGTTGAAGGAATCGTGGGAGGCGCTGCCTGGTGGGAGTAGAATTTGACGAGTGTATTCGAGACCAGCCCGGATAGGGAGACAAGAGGCCCAACAGTCGCACGGGGCGAAGCGAGATCCCACGACTGCTTCAAGCGAGCGATGGGATAGAGACGGGGTGATGGTCGATCGGCCGTCGTCGAGACGTTGGCTGACGAATCGGTCGAGGGACGTTTTGAGACTGGCGCGGAGCGCAAGGCTTCACCGGACCGAAGCGGATTAAAAGGTAACAAGGATGGATGAAGAAAGGTAGGTACAGGCGAAGCCGAAGAAAAAAATCAAACCGAAGTCGCCGAGCGCGAGGATGTTGGCGACCCGTCAAACAGCCAGCTGGATTTGGTGCGAGGCGAAGGGCGAGCGACGACGAGGGGGGGGGCGGGTGCGAAGGACGACGTGTCTCGCAAAGGAAAGGAAACAAAATGGAGAGCAACGTGCGGCTCTTGGGAGGGAGAGGGGGGGGAGGGAGGAAACAGAGAGGGAGAGGTTCAGATTCGAGGGCTGGGGTTTAATGAGAGAAGGCGGGAGGCGCCTGTGCTCGCTTGCTCGGGATGGGAAGCTAACCCGGGAGCCAGATGGAATAGCAGCCTGAGAGGTAGGTTGTATAGTGGTGGTAAAGGGAGAAGAGCGCGTTCGGGAAAGCAGGGGAGGGGGAGGGAGCTGGAGGTGTGCCTCCGTTCAGCTGGGCAGGGGCTGGAGGGGCTTGATTCCGGTGGGGCCGCAGCTCATGGTCGGCTGCTCTGGCCACGGATCTCATTTTCAAATTCCACCACGGCGACGCCGCGACGGCCTTTTCCACCCGTTCCTCGACACGTTTCAGGAGGGCCTCTATCGCACTAGACAATTGACGCCCCAATTGTTTCGGTATGTGACAGCCTCGATTCGTGATTCAGCCGCAGGCTGACTTTACATTAATCCGAATAAGTTTTCCCAATGCCTTGAGGAACGAATGCCTTGAGTGAGGAACGAAAGGCCTTCTAACGTGCCCCGCAGACCCCGCCCTCTCCCCCAAAAAGTTCTCCGCCCCTTGATTGGTCCCTTGTGATTGGTCCCTCCTTGCCTCCCTCCTCGTTGGTCGCTGCCCTTCCCCCGGCTTCTGTTGCCTTTTCGCGTGCCTTATCCCACCACTAGGCGCCTCCCACCCTGTCTGCCGCCTGCCGACTCTTCCCGCCTGCCGAACTCTTCATCGCGTCACCTAGCGCGGCCGCCTTGACTCTTCAGCATCACCGTCCAGCCAGCGCAACGCCTCCTCAACGGTCCTCTCGCTCAGTACCTCGAGCCTGGCCTGTGCGGCAGTCATCTCCTCGGGGACCCGGTTGCCCACCAAGTCTCTGTCCCGCACCTTGGACACGAGCATGATGCCGTCTAGAGTTCGGCAGCGCGATAGCTGCACGTACAGGCCGTACGGGTCGCATTGCGAGGCACCACCGTTCCATCCATCTTCGTCGTCCGTGTCCTCGCAGCTCGAGGGCCACGCGCTCCAGCGTTTTGCCCTGCACCTTGTAGTCCGTGCACGCGAACGCTGCTGCGCACGGCAAACCCTTTCGGCTGACGTCGTTGCGTTGCCACGGCCTTTTTCGCTGGCACTGTATCTTAACGGTCATGGGTGTCAACAAGATCGTGCCCGGCGGCATCCCGACGAAGTGGAGATATCTCGTCGTCTCCGATTCGAGAATGATCCCCGCCGGCGGCCGAAGTGGATCGTCATATCGGCCGAGATCCGATGCCCCGGTACGCCTTGTCGACAATGACCTCCACCGCCGAGTAGCTCGCGCCGTTCACTAGCTTCAGCCCCTGGTGGGTGTTGTGGTTCACGACGATGGGCATCCCGGCCACGAACATGAAGACGGCCGGCACCGGGATCGCGCTATCGTCGCCCTGGTTGAGTATCATGATCGCCTCTTCCTCCGTCGGCAGCTCCTCCTTCCACTTGTGCTCGGAGATGAAAATGCGCATCGTCGACCGCTGCTGGACCCGGAACGCCAGGCTCGCCTCCATGTTCAGGTTCCACCGATTCCTATTGAGCGGCGTCACCACGGTGATGCCCGTCTCCCAAGGGATCCGCCTTCCTCCCGGTAGCACCTTGAGTTGAGGAGGTTTAGATCCGTCCGATCCTGCACGCCTAGACGGATCCGCTTCAGCAGCCTCTGCAGCTCCGGGTCGCCGGCGGCGCGCATCTGCTCGTCCAGCATGACGACCGTCGTGAACCTCTTCCACAGTGCGTGCGCTTTGTCGTGCTGGTGACGCTGCTCGGCCTTGAACGAGTTGTCTACGTCCCACGAGATGGCCGCGCTAGGCAGGACGATCGACCTCTCTTGGACCGGCCGGAACTGCTGAAAATCTCCGCAGAAGAGGACGATGGGGATCCCCCCGAAATCTTGCCGCGATCCGCGAAGCCGGCGAAGCCGCTCGTTCACGGCGTGCAGCGTCCGCGCCCCGAGCATGCTCACCTCGTCGATGACGAGCACATCCTTCTCCTGCCAATCCATTCGAGACTGGCCGTGGATGAACCGCTCCGCCTGTTTCGGCAGCCGCACCCGTCAAGGTCTTTGACCATGTTCGCGCCCCGCCCTTGGTCTTTAGTGAACCCGCAGGCGGAGTGGATCGTGATGCCGTTGATCCGCGCCGCCGCAGTCCCCGACGTCGCCGTGATCAGCAGACGATTCGAAAGGCTCTTTTACTGAACAGCTCGACGAGTGCCTCGATGATTCGCGACTTGCCGGTACCGCCCTCGCCACCGACGAACTGGCGCAGCTGGCAGGCATCGCCCCGTCGGTCTGCTGCATCAAATCGAGCTGGCGGCATATTATCAGAAAAGCGATGGACTGCCTCTTGTTCAGCGTCAGCCGTGTTGCCAACACCTTGCCCGCCGCGAGGAAGGAGGTTGATGGGCCAAACTGAACGTCCATTCCCGCCCCTGCGTCGATAGCGGTCTCGTCGGAGTCGGCCATCGTCATTTCGATCTCGTCCTCCCGAAACCGGTCATCACCCTTCGCAACGCTGCGCGGCGATCGCTTTCCCAGGCGGCGGGCGTGCTTTGTATCCTTGGATCATCCTCTCCCTCTCCTTCGAGGCACTTACCTGCTGCGACTTGATAGCCTTGACCTGATCCTGCGGCGGTAGTGCGGCCCCGGAAAATACCCGCCCTGGCATGCTTAACCGCCTCTCCCCTCGTTCGATCAGCGCCGTGGCCTCGAGCTCGGCCGTCGAGCGCAGCGCCGATTGCTGAAACCGACAGAGCTGCTGTATCATTGCCATGAGCTCCGGCGACTTGGCCGTCACCTGATTCGCTCCCACTGCACTCGGACGACGTCGATGAGCCGCGTTGCGTCTCCGATGCTGTTGGGCTGATATGTCGCTGCAGACTCCGCGCCCGCCTCGCCTGCTCCACCCTCCTCGACGTGTGCGACCGTCGGGTCACCATCGCCGGACGAGGCTGCCCATTGCTTGGCGTCGCGTTTTGCGTCTTCGGCGGATCGTCGAAGCAGCTGCACGTTGTCGACGAGACATGATATTCTCGGGGCCATAGCGTCTCGAGCCCGCGCCCAGATGCTGTTGATCTCACCTGTTCCTTCGCCCAGGAAGGACTCCCACGGCACGAACAGCGCAAGATGCTGCACGGCTGCCCTTCAGGGGGTGGGTTAGCCTCTCCGATAATGCCCGCTGACAGAGCAGTTGCCATACACACCTCCGGTAGCACGACTCGTCATCGTAGGTGAAGTCCTTGCTCAGGTAGCCGTCGAGGCAGACGGTAGCGTGCTTGCCCGGCCGCCTGAGCACCTGAACCCAGCGTCGTCCCGGCGCCCATCCATCCTCGAAAGACATCTCCCCAAGCCGCCCAGCTCTCGTCGTTGCCGATGCGTTTCAGTCTGACGATCGATATGTAGTCATACAGGCATAGGCCTTTCAGCAGCTCTCCCCGGTGCTGGTACGCCTCGACGTGGGAGATTCTCAGGCCTTCTTCTTCGACGACGACCGACTCATCCAAGGTGTCATCCGTAGCCGCAGCGCCACTGGCTTCTCGGAGATGCCGCCATCGCCGAAAGACTTCCCAGTACAGCAGAGAACAGTTCAGGTACGCCCACGCGCTGCTGTCGGTGAACTCGGCCGGATATCCGAGAAGGTGAGCGACGACCTCGACCTGTGATAGCGGACGCTCCGTGAACACGCGGTTCGCCACTCTCATCAGGAACTGTCGCGTCCTGTTCCTTGACAGGGTCATCGGTGGCAGCGTCTCCGCCACCGTCCCGCCCTCCGTTGGCCGTGCCATCACCTGTTGAGGCGGCCAGGAGCTCGGCCGCGGCCGCCACACGCTTCCACACCGGGTCCTCCACCTTGGTCGCGTAGTTCGTGACATAATAGATGAGGGCCATTGTCTTGCGCTGCGTCGCAATGAAGGAAATATCATGGTTGTGCCGGAGCCCGACAGCAATAGCCTCGTTCCATCGATTGACCATGCTGTGTGTCCTCCGGATCTGCAGCACCCCGTCTGCCGTGAGGGCGGTCTTGTCGACTAACCTCCATGGCGCCTTGAACCGGCAGAGGTCCCTTTCCGCCCTCCTTTGCCCAAGGAATACTTCACACAGGTCGGGCTATGCGTGTGCACCTGCGTCGCGCCGGCACAGAAGTTGGCCTCCTCGATAAACGCGGCCGAGAACTGCGCGGCGTTGTCCAGCAGGGAACCAATACCGCCCGTCACAGATCGCTCCGCTTGCACGGCGCAAAAACTTTCCTGGTCCAGATCCTGCCTTGCACGTCAACCCGGCCCCACTTGGCCATCAGAAGAGTACTTCAGGCTCCCGGTGGCACATCTTAGGTAGGCATTCTTACCTCTGAGAAGACGCTATCGATGTATCGGACGATTCGCTCGCGATACGCCGCCTGATCCTCCCCGTGGATGTCGGCAAGCATCGAGCTGAGATGCGCGTTCCCGTGCAGCCAGAGCAAGCCGTGAACATGAAGCGCCCCTCGTTCGTTCGTCTCCACGGCGCCATAGTACTTGCCGATGCGCCCGAATACCGACTCTTCACCGACCTTCACGTAATGATCGAAGAACAGCTTCATCTCGCGGTGGAAGAACACGGCCGAGCTCATGGGATCCGATATCGCCAGCCGTGCCCGCTTATACGCATCCCCAAGGCCTTCTAAGAACTCCTCGGCCGCGTCGGGATCGCGTGTGCGGTATGCCGCCAGTCGCAGCTTCACCGGGTTCGTAATGTCGTTCGGGTTGATGGTGAACCAGATGGCCGGCACGCCATATCCGACGATGAGCGACTGGATTTTCCGCCGCATATTGAGACGGACCTCTCGACATGGGCTGCCGGTGGCCGTAAAGCGAGAGGCTCCTGAGAAGCTCCTTCACGTCACCATCGGTCGTCTTACCCGAGCTCTCCAACTCGACCCTCGCCGCCGCTAGCCTTTCTGTGGTCATCGAACGCACGATGCGCTCTACCTTGCGGAAGTTCTTCCTCCCACACTCAACATGCTGACCCGGCGGTTCCTCGACCGCACCCCATGTTGAAGACGAGAAATGCGAAGATGTGGTGCAGTGCAAATCGACCACCATGGCGCCGGAGCACGATCTCGGCCCACGCCTGAAGGTTCAAGCTTCGAGACGATACGGGGTCTCCGCGGCCGCCTCTGCCTCGACAGCCCTGCCTCGCAAGTTGGCCGTGACCTTCCCGCGTCGACCATGGTCTCTTCAACCAGCCTTGGTCCCCCAACGCCAAATGGGAACAGGGTCGGGAACGTCCTGGCAAAGAAGGACGCCTCAAAGGAATCGGTAAACTCACCCCCCCGCGAAACCCGGATGTATGGCTCACAACCACCGTCGCCACGCCCCCGAACCCCCCCGGCTAGGGACCCGACCCACGCTCTCGGGCCCGCACGGCCGTCGTCGGCACCTTCACCAACAGCGTCACAGGCAAACTGCAGCTTCTCCACGTCCGCGACGTCTGGCGGTCCGTCGAGCGCGAACATGCCAGAAGACGTCACCTCGTTGATCGCTGGAACGTTCTGGTCGGGGCAGGCGTCACTTCCATCGCGAACCGCGCCTTCTCCGTTGGGCCCGTGACCTTCACCCTGGCCGCCGGCTTCTTGTCCTTGGTTGAGCAGGGCGAAGAGCTCCTCGATCTCCACCGGCCCCTCCTCGTCCACGGCGCGTTCCGTGGGCGGCACAACGTGCGCCGTCCGCGCTTTCTCCCACCCAGACGGCTCGTTCCGCTCCATACGATCGCACACCGACGACGGTACCCCGTGTATCGAGTCTCCCCAGCTCTCCATCTCCGCCGCGTCGATCTCGATCTCGGCGTAGTGGGGGTTGTTCCGCTTCAGCCAGACAAGGGCCCTCTCGACCACCCGCCGCCTCACCGACAAGAGACTCGACAGGTCACTCGGTGCCGGCTTCTCCGCGCCCTGCCACGAGATGTGGATCTCGTCCAGTGCTTGCAAAAGGGGGTGCGGGAGCACTTTGGTGGCCAGCTCCTGCACATTGTTCGGAAACACTGTGATGTGGCCCCTGACATGCCTCGGATACTTCACGCTCTGCCTCTGCCCGCCCGGAATGCTATATCTCGTGACAAACCCGTAACATGAGTTCAGCGAGATGAGCTTCTCTTCGACCGGCGTCAGTCCCTTGAGCTCATCGGGGAACATGTGCTCGCAGCCAAGGCGACTGTGAAGGTGGATCGCCGGCGACAGGCTCCTGCGCGCCAGGCATCGGCCACACTCGGCGCACACCGACACGGACTCGCCCTCAGGAAAGCAACTCCGGCATGAAAATGGTGAGCGGCCGCCCTTTGGTACGCAACTTGACAGCCAATGATCCCATGTAATCTCCCTCAACTCTCCTCTCGTACACTTGCGGTAGCACACCATGCAGGTCCGTATCGGCAACGTGCTCGCATCGTGGAACGCCTGATAGAAGTCTCGCACCGTCGACACCTTCCTCTCGAGCGGTATTGGCGTGCACCACGTCTGATCGTTAGACAATCTCTCCTTCAAGGCAAAGTCTTCCTCCAAAAAAGCGCAGCACACTCGCCAGGTCTTCGGCCTGCAGCTCCCGTCTCCTATGCCTTCCGATTCCACTTCGGACCTGTTTTATCGGGCGCCCATCCCGGCTAGGAAGACGGGCTCTCTTCTCCCGCCTCCGGGACTGCCTCTGTCCGCGCAGCGAGCCGTCCGCTGCCTCTGCTGCGCCATCGTCCACACCCACCTGTGCCCTTGGCCGCCGAACCGGTCCCCGACGGAGCTTGGGCAAACCCCATGCAATCGATGCTGCAAATTGCGCCGTTCGTCTTAGGTCTTGGAAAGTCGTATCCTTGGGCTGGATAGGTCGGAGCGTCGGTCCCTTTTCGAACGAACACCCGGGACACCGCCGGTCGCCGCCTTATCTCCCTGCCCGTCACCTTCAGGACCCTCTCCTGGGGCAAAACGGCCGATGAAGGGCGGACTGTCAGAGCCCACTGCCCCTGGTCTCCACGTTCTGTAGGCAACACGAACCTCGGAAGCGGACTCGGTGACTGACGTTGCGCGGAATTTCCGCTGCTGACCAAATTACGGGACTTCCGTGCTCTGCTTGACCGCAAACCGCCTCGCGGCGGTCTTCTCGGCAGTGACTTTGCGATCGCCTCTGCATGCTTTCTCCATGCGGTTTCTTCGACCGCAGACTGCTTAGGCTGAATCAGCCGGAACGTTAATGCTTCATTCGCCACTGATCTGTATCTCCCGAACCGCCCCAACCTTGTCTCCCGTGCTCCGTGCCCTTCTCGGAGTTGCCCTGTATCATCTCCGCACCCCGAAACAGGCACTCCCCCGTTCCTACCCTCTTCTCCATCCTCGACTGACAACGAACAGGCTCCACGGTGAGCGGCCGCCTCGCCTAGCTTCCCTGCAGGACTGTCCGCCATGCTACTGCCTCCTCGACGTCGACTAGCGTGGATTGGCAACAGGCTAGAAAGTTTTGGCTCCGGAGCACTTCCACTTGGATAATCTCGCTTCTTGGCGTACACTATTTCTTTCCGAGTGGGAAGCTTCCTAACGATCACTACTCTCATGGCCGTGGCATTTCTTCCCTTATAATGCTTGCCTATGGTACCGAAGCGATGCAATACTACTACCCTTTGTAATCCCCATTTACCCTCCCTATGTGCGTCCACCGTCCCGACCCTCGGCTGGTCTCCACGTGCGACCTGCTACCCCAGCTTTGCCAAAGGCGGCCCTTCCATCGCCGTGCTCTCTTTTGCACTCCAGCGAATCCTGGCTACTGCCGACCTCCGGCACATGGGGTGGCCGCGCCAACCGCCCGCCGCACACTTCCAACCATACTCTCCGGCCCTTCCAACGCCGTCCCACCCACCTTGCGCATCAGTTGCTCCATCAATATCTGCCACTCCACCTAGTCGAGCAACAGCCAAAGGCTGCCGGCGATAACATGTCCACGGTGTCCTCGTGCAACCGGACTACCCGGCTAGGTTTGCTCCCTCGCCACCACCAACGTCGCATCAACGGCCTTCATGCTAAAGCGACAGCCAGGATCCCCCTGCCTGTCCTCTTGTAGTCGCTAGCCACCGGAGTCTCGACTTGCAAACCCTCTTGGAGAGTTCTCGTGACCAACTCGCATCCTCCTCCTCAGGTCGTCCCCTATATCCGACTTCACCGTGTCCCAATAGTGGACTCGACACGGTCGGCACCCGCCTCGCTCAGCCGCACGCAATGCCCATCCAACTACCGACGACCGTCAAAAAGGACCCTGCAATACTACCATAACCTCTTTCTTTCCTTCACTCTCATTCGTTATTGTCGCCTTTGCTATCTACTCCATGCAACGATGACACCGAAGGGTACTGCTGGACTTTCTTTCTCCGCAGACTTACCCACACTAACCTTACTGTTCGCCGACCTCCAACTTCTCGCGACATAGCCATCACCCCTACTCAACTTCCAACCCCGGCTCCTACTTCACTCACGACCATAGAACCAGATGGTCGAGACTGTTCAAGAACCTCGCCAGCTCATTCCCGCATACCCCCGCTTCTGATCTATCACCTAGGTAGCATTCTCTGACTCTTAAGTCTCCCCGACCCTAGCCGCGAGCCCTCTTTCGAGCAGCAAGAAAACCTGCTTTATAGGATGCCCACCTCCACTCTGCGTAACCCCTCATTTACACTTCCACGGTGACTACATCTGCCATGTTCTCACGATGTCGGCCTCCCAGCTCAACGTCGATACCTCGTCCTCCCCGCGGCAACCTCTTGACAGCCAGAAAAATGCTGGCGCCGACATGTCCATGATGGCCTTTGTCCAGCCCGGCTGCCCGGCTAGGTTCGCCTACCAGAATGAGCATCGTGTCAAAGGGCTCAACGCAGAAACCCTAGCGAGGTCTTCCTTCCCACGCCCTCATGGCTGTCGACTCCGGAGTATGCAGCAATCCGGTCAGATACTGGCAATCCATCGACCTGCATCTTCTTCAGCCTTAATATTTCCATATACAACCAACAGATAATCTCCTCGGAATGGACCGAGCAATGGTTCTTCATGGTCGGCCGTGTTCATCCCTTTGCCCTGACGTGGGAAATCGAGCGACGTGATGGCTTGGAGTCGGACGATGATAACATCACAGAATACACCGTCCCCGCGCTTATAGTCCGCGATCACAGCTACCAACCGTGAGTCTATGCTCCAAATCTCTCTGTCGCCACTGCCCTCCCTGACGATATCCATAGAATTGTCACTCGCACCCTCAGCTCGGTGGATACTTTCCCAACGATACAACCCATTGTCTCCTTCACGGGACCTGTCATCGGCTCCGGCCGCGACCTCCTGCATGGAAACTCGGCTGCGGCCCTTGACGACACCCAGCTGAGCTGCTGCGGCTTTGTCCAGCTCTCCACCTTTATTTGTCCTGGGATTCCCGGCAAAACCCCCTTCAAGGGCTTTCACCCTTCCAAGTTTTCGTCATCTTCCCATTCACGCTAATCCTTGGACCTCCCTATGCAAGAAGATGACCGAGAGGCGCGACAGCCAGTTCCAGTCGAACGCTCTCTTCACCTGTACGGGCAAAATCGCCGGCTTACTGGATCACCAGATCATGAAACATGCCCCGGCTTTCGACCAAGACTATATCTTCATCGTCGTCCCCGACACGTGGACTTTCCACGACAAGGCCATGTCCGACCAGGCTTCTGCAACACAACTACTGCCGACGACACCCAAGAGCGCGGTCGGCAATCCCTCGGACTATAGCGTTGCGTTGGCCAGGTTTACCTCTACGAAGAAACCCAAGGCCGCCCAAAGCCCCGCCTCCCCCACGCCGCATGCTTCTGGCCCAGTCGATCCCTTATGCTGGCATCAAGTCGGTCATTGCCCGATCCTACCAAACCCCAACCAAGAGACCGCGACTTTCTCCCGAAACTTCCACCATAATCACCGACTGTGACGGTCAAGACTCCCCCAAATCCGATACCTCCTCCTTTCTGTCCCCGGAAGACCCCGCAGAGTCAGAAACGGACACCGAACAGGTCAATCACCAAGACACATCCGCCTCTGGCTCTATCAGACCTCCCGCGTCGATATCTTCCCGACCACTGCGCGCCCGACGTCCGCCCAAGAATATTCTCTAAACTTTAAAGCATCAAACGAAACAATACAACATGACAACATGTCTCATCATCCTCAAAATCAACTGCCAAAGGCTCGAATAGCACATTCTCTTCTCTTCTTGTTCTCCTTTTCATGAAGACGATCAAGTCAAAACTTCCCCAATATACTCCTTATTCTGTTTATACCTACGACTTATACCGGTAGCACATGTAAATTTTCCGAGCCTTCCACTCGCCCAGACATGCATTACCCACTCACATCTCTCTTCAACCCTGCCGTCTCTCCACGCCCTTTGAGTTTGCGCCTTTAAACAAAATCTCCCTCCAGCGGCCTAGCCTGCCTCCCCGACGCTCTGTCTCGGTTTCACTCACGATAATGCTCTACGTCTCTCGCCGTGTCTCGTATCTCGACCTCACTCTTCTTCCTGTCTCCTATCTACTGTCGCCAACTCTCTCTCTCTCTTCTGTAGCCAACTCTTCTCCGGTTCTCTTGTCGCCAAATTTCGTTCCGAAAGGCTTCTTTGCGCGAGCCGCGGCTGGCGAGCCTTCCTCTCGTATGAGGGTTTGGTGCAGACAGGGATCAATAAGTTTCTTGGGCTCTGATTGGTCCCAAATTTGTATGGACGGGAGGAGCAACTGGACGACGGCTCTTAAAAAGTGGGACCCCCCTGCTTCACATGGAAACTTCATTCACGCAACGCCTTTTTCACGTCTTGCTTCAGAGCCAACAATCTGCACACGCACCCAGTTTCCCCTGATCGTATGCTACGCCATTACTATCCACAAGTCGCAAAGCATCACCGAAGACATGATCGTGACAGATCTGTCCTGCCGTGACTTTCAGACCGGTTTGAGCTACGTGGCCGTCTCGCGTGTGAAAACGCTGCAGGGTCTGATGCTGGATGCCCCGTTTGACCGCAATCATCTGACTTATGCGTCGCCGCCGGAAGGAATTAAGATGAAGATGAGGGATCAGCAACTTCGCAAACGACAGATTCTCACCCAGAATCCGTACAAGATAGGTCACGGGTCTACGTAACTCCACTTGATGCTACC